CACTGGGATGGGGGACATGGGCAGTGGGATGGGGGTTTTGGGGTGCTGGGGATACTGGGATGGGGGACATGGGCACTGGGATGGGGACACGGGCACTGGGATGGGGGTTGTGGGGTGCTGGGGTCACTGGGAGGGGGACACAAGACCTTTGGAACACTGGGACGGGGAATATGGGCACTGGGAATACTGGGACTTGGGGACAGTGGGACAAGCCATACTGGGACAGCCCCACCCTGGGGAGACGGGGAAGTCAGGGGACATGGGACACGGGCACTGGGATGGGGGTTGGGGGCTGCTGGGGTCACTGGGAGGGGGACACAAGACCTTTGGAACACTGGGACGGGGAATATGGGCACTGGGAATACTGGGACTTGGGGACAGTGGGACAAGCCATACTGGGACAGCCCCACCCTGGGGAGACGGGGACGTCAGGGGCCAGAAGGAGGAGAGGACATCCCTGTGCGTACCCCTCCCCTTTCCCCCTTCCCAGTTCCTCCCAGTTCCTCCCAGTACAGCTCCGGATTGACCACGCACTTGTCGGAGAGGACCCCGAAGAGGCCGGACCCCAGGAGGATCCCGGCCATGTAGATGGACTGGGCCACCTGCCTCAACTTCTTGGACTCGCACACCAGGTCCCACTGCCACCAGGAGAAGACATGGAGGGGTCAAGACCCGGACGTCTGTGTCCTCCACCCCACCCTACTGGGGGAACTGGGATTGTGGGCCACCCCTCACCTCGGTAACGATGGTGTGAGCGAAGATACCATCGTGGTAGGTCCAACCGTCGTGGCAAGGTTCGGTGGCCGCCCCGTTGGCCGTGCCGTTGGCCGTCCCGTTGACCTCCAAGAGGTGCCACTGGGGCTCCACGTAGCGGCGGCAGCGCTGGGGACGGCGGTGGCCGTCGGAAGGGATGGAGACGAAGAGTGGGACATCCCCAACGCTGTCGTTGACCGCGGGCTGAGGCCGGCAGTGATGCTCGGGGACGCCGGCGGTGAAGTTCTGCAGAAGGTTGTGGCTGGCCAGCATGAGCAGCGGAATGGCCAGGGCGGCCACGTAGGTCATCTGGAAGCGGCCCATCCCGCCCAGGCGGGCCAGCAGCTCCACGAAGCTCATGGTGGGACGAAGGATGGAGCTGGGGGAGGAGCGTCAGGCCAGCTGGAGGAGATGAGGTTGAAGGATGGATGGGCCAAGGGATGGTCAAGGGGTGGTTTGGAGGAAGGGGTGAGGGACGGATGGAAGGATGGGCCAAGGGGTGGATGAGGGATGGCCAAGGGGTGGTTTGGATGGTCAGCAAATGGATGGATCCAGGGATGAGCCAACGGGTGGCCCAAGGGGTGGCCGAGGGGTGGTTTGGATGGTCAGCAAATGGATGGATCCAGGGATGAGCCAACGGGTGGCCCAAGGGGTGGCCGAGGGGTGGTTTGGATGGTCAGCAAATGGATGGATCCAGGGATGAGCCAACGGGTGGCCCAAGGGGTGGCCGAGGGGTGGTTTGGATGGTCAGCGAATGGGTGGATCCAGGGATGGGCCAAGGGGTGGACCAAGGGATGGACCAAGGGGTGGCCGAGGGGTGGTTTGGATGGTCAGCAAATGGATGGATCCAGGGATGAGCCAACGGGTGGCCCAAGGGGTGGCCGAGGGGTCGTTTGGAGGAAGGGGTGAGGAACGGATGGAAGGATGGACCAAGGGATGGACCAAGGGGTGGCCAAGGGGTGGTTGAGGGATGGCCAAGGGGTGGTTTGGAGGAAGGGGTGAGGGATGGACCGAAGGTTGGGCCAAGGGGTGGATGAGGGATGGCCGAGGGCTGGTTTGGATGGTCAGCGAATGGGTGGATCCAAGGATGGACCAAGAGGTGGCCCAAGGGGTGGACCAAGGGATGGCCAAGGGGTGGTTTGGAGGAAGGGCTGAGGGACGGATCAAAGGATGGACCAAGGGATGGACCAAGGGGTGGCCGAGGGGTGGTTGAGGGATGGCCAAGGGGTGGTTTGGAGGAAGGGGTGAGGGACAGATGGAAGGATGGACCAAGGGATGGACCAAGGGGTGGCCGAGGGGTGGTTTGGATGGTCAGCGAATGGGTGGATCCAAGGATGGGCCAAGGGGTGGCCCAAGGGTTGGCCATGGGGTGGTCAAGGGATGGCCAAGGGCTGGTTTGGATGGTCAGCAAATGGGTGGATCCAAGGATGGGCCAAGGGGTGGTCGAGGGGTGGCCAAGGAGTGGTTTGGAGGAAGGGTTGAGGGACGGATGGAAGGACAGACCAAGGGACAGCGAAGGGGTGGAGGGCCGAGCGCGGGATTGGCCGAGGGGACAACCGAAGGGTGACCGGGGGGGGTGGGGAGGGCCGAGGACGAGGGCCGGACCAACGGACGGACCAACGGACGGAGACAGAGGGATCAAGGGGGGGTTGAGGGATCGACAGATTGCCCTTCTATTGATCATCTATCGGTCAGTCCGTCCATCTCTTGATCAGTCTATCGGTCTATCGATAGGTCTATTCATTTATTGATTGATTGAGCTGTTGATCGATCGATCGATCAGTTGGCCTGGTTCCGACCTGTCAGTCTGTCTGTTGCTCTCTCAGTCTATCGGTTGCTCTATTGATCTATCGGTTGCTCTATTGATCTATCGGTTGATCTATTGATCTATCAGCACCTCGATCGATTGATCGATCGATCTGCAGGTCGCACTATCAATCAGCCGCGCTATCGATCAGCTGCACTATCAATCTATCGATCTCTATTGATCCGTCGGGGTGTCTATCGACCTATCAATCTGTCAGTCTGTCTATCGATCTCTCAGCCTGATTGATCCGTCCGCCCATCAGTGTCTCAATCAATCTCAGTCTCTATTGATCCGTCAATCGCCGGTTCTTTCTTTCCTGCCCTCAGCTCTGCCCCTCACTGCTCTCCCTCCTCCTCCTCCCCCCTTCCCCCCGTTATCAATCAACCAATCAATCGACCGATCAATCAATCCCCTCTCCCTTCTGCCCCACCAATCTCTCGATAGGTTCCTCCCCCCCCGCAATGATCCCTCCCGATCGATTGATCCCTACCGGCTCTTTCGCTCCTCTCCCTCTCTCTGCCGCTCTCTCGGTCTCCGGCTCGGTCTCTCCGGCCACCCGCTGTCCACCCGTCCGTCCCTCCGTCCGTCCGTCCCTCCCTCCGCCACTCCCCCTCCCTCTTCCTCCATCCCTCCTTCGCCCCTCGCTCAATCAATCCATCCGCCAATCGATCGATCAATGGGTTTCTCTATCGGCTCCACCAACCGTGCTCCAGCTGGGGGACCCGCCCTCCCCCCCCCGGTCCCTCTGCCCATCTGTTGACTCTTCACCCCATCGATCAATCGATTTATCTGCCGATCGATCAGTCTATAGGTCTACAGAGGTCTATTGATCAGTCTCTGGATCTCGCCCTATGGATGGGTGGATCGATCGATCTCCCCGTCGATCAAAGCAGCGAGCTCTTTCTCTGCTGATGAGTTATTGATCTTTAGATCTTTATTATCTATAATGGGGCCATCGTCAATTAGTCCAGAATCTCTCTCTTTATTGAACGATCTATTGGTCTATATGTTTCTATTGATCAACCTATTGATCAATGTATTGTTCTACAGCATTTCTATTGATCCGTCTGTATCTCTGTTACCAATAAATCCATCTATTCGTTGATCAGTCTACTGGGCTGCATTTTTCTACTGACGAATCTATTGAACCACAATCCACCGATCAATCTCTATCGATCAATCGGTTGGTCTATTGATCAATTTATTGATTTATAATCTTTCGATTGATCAATGTATCGATCTTAATCTCTCTATCGACCCATCTATTGGCTGATAATCTTTCTATTGATTGATTTATTGACCTTTAATCTCTCTATCGACTGATCTATTGGTGTCTGTCGATTGATCACCCTATCGACCTATAGCTTATTGATCAATATAGTGATCAATCTATCTATTGACTTGTTTATTGGCCTCTATTGATCAATCTATTGAACTTAAATCTCACTATCGATCGATCTATTGACATATAACCTTTCCATTGATGTCTTTCTCTCTACTGATTGATCTAATTGACCTTTAATTTCAACCTATTGATATAATCTTTCTATTGATCAACGTATCCATCTTAATCTCTCTATTGATCAATCTCTTGACCCGTAATCTTTCTATTGATCAGCCTTTCTCTTTAGCGATCAGTCTGTTGAGCTTTTGTGTCTCTCTTGAGCAGTTCGTTGGCCCCTCTCTCTCCCGATCGACACATTGATCGATCTCTCTATTGATCCACTCACCTGTCCGTCGCGCTCGCTATCTCCCAACCTCTCCCAGCGCCAAACCCCGCTCCCCGGAAACGTCTGCCGCCACCTACCACCCCTCAGCCCCGTGGCTGCCCATGGCCACGGCCCCGTCCGCGGCCCCGGCCCTGTCCCCCCCTCCTATTTAAAGCCACCCCCGGTCCCGGTTAACGTTTGACTCCGGTGGGACCAGATCCCACTATGGGTCAGTGGAGATGATGGTCAGGCGGAAACGCCGCCGCCGGCCACTCCGGTCCCCAACCAAAGATGCCCGATGGCTCCTTGGGGCCATCCCATCCTCTCCATCCTCCTCCTCGCCGAGGAAGCCCCCAGCCCCAAGGGGACGGGGACCCCCCCAGCCCCATCCCCCCCCAGTTTGTTTGCACCATCCATGGTGGCTGATTCATGGGGCAAAGTCCTCGGGGGCCCTGAACTGGATCCCTGGGAGCCCCTTGGACCCCGGGCAGGAGGGCAGCGGGAGGCAGCAGAGCGTAGGCAGGACAGGACAGTGACCAGGAGACTTGGGGGGTGGCTCGAGGGGGCAGGACAGCCGGGTGCTCGCCCGCTGGGTGGTTGGAGAGGAGGGGGACGTGTGTGATGGGTGGCCAGAAGCTTGGGTCCTTGGGATGTCGCAGCACCGGGATGAGTTTTGGGATCCCTGGGTCCTCGGGATGTCGGGGCACCATGGATGCCTTGATTTTGGGGATCCCTGGGTCTTTGGGATGTACGGGCACCAGGATGAGTTTTGGGATCCCTGGGTCCTGGGGTTGTCGGGGCACCATGGATGCCTTGATTTTGGGGATCCCTGGGTCTTTGGGATGTACGGGCACCAGGATGAGTTTTGGGATCCCTGGGTCCTCGGGATGTCAGGGCACCAGGATGAGTTTTGGGATCCCTGAGTCCTCGGGATGTCAGGGCACCAGGATGAGTTTTGGGATCCCTGAGTCCTCGGGATGTCAGGGCACCAGGATGAGTTTTGGGATCCCTGAGTCCTCGGGATGTCAGGGCACCAGGATGAGTTTTGGGATCCCTGAGTCCTCGGGATGTCAGGGCACCAGGATGAGTTTTGGGATCCCTGAGTCCTCGGGATGTCGGGGCACCAGGATGAGTTTTGGGATCTCTGGGGGTCCTTGGGATGTCGGGGCACCAGGATGAGTTTTGGGATCCCTGGGTCTTTGGGATGTCGGGGCACCAGGATGACTTGATTTTGGGGATCCCTGGGTCTTTGGGATGTCTGGGCACCTGGATACCTTGATATTTGGGATCCCTGGGTCCTTGGGATGTCAGGGCACTTCAGGATCTCTGGATCTTCAGGATCCCTGGGTCCTTAGGATTCCTGGGGAGCCAGACACTTGGGTCCTTGGGATCCCTGGGTCCTTGGGATGGCTGGACACCAGGATACCTTGATTTTGGGGATCCCTGAGTCCTTGGGATGTCAGGGCACCCAGTGGGTCCTCAGGATCTCTGCATCTTCTGGATCACGGGGTCCTTGGGATCCCTGGGGAGCCAGATGTGGTTCCTGGGGATCCCTGGGGACCTATACACGTGGGTCCTTGGAATCCCTGGGTCCTTGGGATGACTGGGCACCCAGTGGGTCCTCAGGATCTCTGCATCTTCAGGATCACGGGGTCCTTGGGATCCCTGGGTCCTTTGGGATCCCCGAGGACCCGTACACGTGGGTCCTTTGGGATCCCCGAGGACCCAGACGTGTGGGTCCTTGGGATCCCTGGCTCCTTTGAAGATTTGGGTCCTCCCTGCCCTCTCGAGCGCGACTCTCCCCTCCCTCCCTCACCGCTCCGGCGCGGGCAGAGGGGAGGAGGGGGATGGTGGAGGGGGGAGGACGCGATGCCGAGGCCACAGCACCCCACTGGGTCCCATATTTGCCTTCGGGGCGGGACGGCCAAGCTACGCCGGACCTCCCGCGGCCGTGGGAAAACAACCCCACCACCACCACCACCACCCCCCTCCATGCCCTCCCACCGGCCACGTTTCACGCGATTTTTCTTTTTCTTTTTTTTTTTTTTTGTTTTTTTTTTT